CGGCAAGCTACCGAGAGTATCTCGCCCGCACGGCAGAGCCTGGCAAGCCACCCGTGATGTATTCGATATGCCAAACACAGTAACAACAAAATCTCCAACGGAGACGTTACTGGGCCCACTCGAGCAATTATTTTCTCATTTCTTTTTTTGGTCTCACCTAGCTGTGCTCAGAGTTTACTCCTGGCTCTGCACACTGGTGGGACTTGGGGACCATTTGAGTGCCATGGGTTGAACTCAAACTGGCCGCATGTAAGGCCCAACATGGAAAATTTTCTGTTTAGGGTCCTCCAAAGCAGTGCCAAAATCCTGTGGTGCTAGATGTCTCCTGGACCACTCCTGATTGCTTGGAAGTGCGAACCATGCTATGCTGGGGATTGAACTGGGACCTTTTGAGCTCTGCCCTGCTCCAAACTGTCTGAATCTAGTTTGGATAATCTTTTGAGCTGTGGGGTTGGGGATGGATCACATCCAGTCTTGCTTAGGACTTGCTTCTGGTTTGGTCCAGGGGACTGACCAGGGTACTGGTGATTGAAACAGGACTGGCTGCATGCAAGGCAGTCTTTCTGTAGTATGTCCTTGACTCTGGATCTTTTTTTGTTTCTTTTTGGGTCATACCTGGCAATACACAGGGGTTACTTCTGGCTCATACACTCAGGCATTACTCTGGTGGTGCTTGGGGGACCATATGGGGTACTGGGAATCGAACCTGGGTCGGCCGCGTGCAAGGCAAATGCCCTACCTGCTGTGCTGTTGCTCCAGCCCTTGACTCTGGATCTTAATTCAGACAAATTTTCAAAAACACATTTTAATGGTGGTTGTAGAATCTTGTTTTTGTTTAGGGGCCACCTCTAGCAGTTCTCAGGGACTTCTGGTTTTTTGCTTACAGGTTGCTCTTGGTGGTGCTCTGGAGACCAACTGGCATGAGACACAAACAAGATGTTTGTGTCCTAACTCTTGTACTATCTTTCTGATCCATAGTTATAGAAATTTTAGTATAGCTATTGGTTATTATATAAACAATTTTGTTTATTTTGGGTTTTTTCCCCCAGTGGTGGCACTATTTACATAAATAATGTATACATCTAATTAATGTATGTTTTAGAGCTTTGTATGTAGTATGTTATGATACAGTTTCTGGGACTCATTTTAAAATACTTTATAAATGGGGTAATGAAATGTGATATTGGTAGAGAAACTTAAGGATATGTGTATGAAGGATCAATGCACTATACTCTTAGCTTTTGAGTGTCTTTACAAATCATCGCAATTTGCAAGTGAAAAATGTAGCTTATTTAATATTATGCCCTTGGACCTGGAATGTACTTCAGGGGACCATTGAGTTCTGGAGATTGAATCCCAGTCCCATACATGCAAAGCACGTGCACTAACTCTTTGAACCATTTTCCAGTCCACACACACGCTTCCTTTGTGGATGCATGTGCTTTTCTTTACACAGTTTTGGAGTCCTTTCTGGTCGCACACTTAACATTATTTCTTAGACATCTTTCAAGGTATTTATGTGGGGTTGGGGTTTTGGGCTATATCTGGCAGTGTTCAGGAGTTATTCCTCACTCTTGGCCAGGGGTCAGTCCTAGTGGTACTTGGGGGACCATATGTGGTGCCAGGAATCAAACAATCTCTCTGACCCTCAAAAGATCTTAATACTGGAATGGAATGGATGGGAAACTGGTGTAAAGAGAATAAAGGTTTCTTAGTTTTGTTCTTTTTTATTTTTTTCCTTTGAGGTATTAGGGATCAAATTTAGTACCTTCCCTGGCATGTTTAAAAATTTCTCGAATGATTTCATTATATAATCAATAACTAGTGTGACTAGGTTTTTTGGGTGTGTTTTTTTCCCCCACATAGATTACCAAATAGTTAATTCCTATGATTGTTAAAGATGAATGAATTCACAACTTTTTTTCTTTTAATTGACAGACTATTTTTTTCTTTTTGGCTTCTTGGGTTACACCCAGCAATGCTCAGGGGTTATTCCCTGCTCTGTACTCAGGAATTACTTCTACCGGTACTTGGGGGAACATATGGGAAGCTGTGGACCAAACCCGGGTTGGCTGTGTGCAAGGCAAATGCCCTACTTGCTGTATTGCTGTATGTTCCAGCCCCAGTGTATTTCATTTTTTTTTATTACATTTGTTTCCATGTAGAAAGGTATTGTCAGGGACCAAGGGGATGGTACAGAGGCTAAGGTGCTTGCCTTGCATGCTGCTGACCCCAGTTTGATCCCTACCACCACATATGGTCCCCTGAGCCCTGCCATGTGTGATCCCAGAGCACAGATCTAGGAGTACACCCTGAGCATAGACATTGTGGCCCAAACAGCAGCAAAGTAGAAAGGTGTTCCTGCTTTGACCAAATGACCAAATGACTCAATTGTGCTCAGTAAAGTAAATTGATAACTTTGCATATTCAAACACAAGTTTATGGGGCCAAAGAAATATAAGTCAGTGTGCTTTCCTTGCACAGAGCCCAGAGCCAGGAGTGTTCCCTAAGTACCACCAGGTTCATAAAAGAAAACAAAAAAAAGTCATGACTTTTTTGTTGTTGTTGTTGGTTTTTGGACTTTGGACCAGCAATGTTCAAGATTTTATTCCTCACTCTACCCTCAGGAATTACTCCTGGCGGTGCTCAGGGGACCTTGTGGGAAGCCATGGATTGGATCCATGCAAGGCAAATGTCTTACCCACCATACTATGATTATGGCCCTGAGTCATGGCTTTTAGATGGCAAGGCAAAGGATAAAGTTAGATAGCAAACAGAAAATGTTTTGTGCAAGAACATTGGGATAATGTCCAGTAGATATAAAAATACTACTTTTTTGTGTGCCCCACTTTGCAGTGCTTTGGCTGTTCCTGGCTTTGTGCTCAGGGATTGCTCCTGTAAGTGCTTGGAGGACCATAAATGCTGCCAGGGATTAAATTTTAGTCAGCCAGGTACAAATCAACTGCCTTAACCTTAACCTATCACTCTGGCCCTAGAATATTCTTTTGATTCAAAAGAAACTTGGGGCTGGAGCAGTAGTTCAGTGAGCGAAATATATGCTTCGTATGTGAGAGGCCTGGGTTCCATTCCTGGTGTCCTGTGGTCCCCTTAAACAGGGTCTGAAGGTTCTTTGACTCCAGACTTTAAAAAACCTTTTTATTATTCCTCAATTCTCCGGGGTCTGGCTCATCTCCATGTCCACAAGGTGATTCATCGAGACCTGAAGGGCAAAATGTCCTGCTGATGGAGAATGCAGAGGTCAAGCTCGGTATGCTGATGTTTGCGTTTGTTTTTGTTTTGTTTGGGGGTCACATCCAGTAGTGCTCAAGGTTTACTCTGTATTTCAACTCCTGGTGGGGTCAGGGTACTAGATGGGGTGCCAGGGACTGAACCCAGATCAGTGACAAGCAAGGCAAGTGCCCTTAGCCACTGACCCTTTGTATGCTGAATTCTTCTGAGATAGGCGAGGTCTTTTTACCTCCAGAAGAGAGAATTAGAGACTGTTTATTTTTCTTTTTTCTTTTTTCTTTTTTTTTTTTAAATGTGTGTGTGATAGAGCGATAGCAGAGCGGGTAGGGCGTTTGCCTTGCACGCAGCCAACATGGCCGACCCGAGTTCGATTCCTCCGCCCCTCTAGGAGAGCCCGGCAAGCTACCGAGAGTATTCGATATGCCAGACACAGTAACAACAAGGTCTCCAATGGAGACGTTACTGGGCCCGCTCGAGCAAATCAATGAACAACGGGAGGACAGTGACAGTGACATTATTCCTCAAACAATACGGTGTAACATTATTTGCCTTGTGCTATTACATGTAATAGAAAGATGATTTAGAGTATATTGGAGGATGTACAAAGATTATCTGCACATACTATGTTATTTTTATATAGAAAGAACTAAAGCAATCAGGGATTTGATATCTGTGCTGGTCCTAGAAATAGTCTTTTTGTCAATACACTGTGTACTGTAGGTATGTTTTTCGTTCTTCCTCCATCCCTCCTTCCCTCCCTCCCTTCCTACTTTTCTTCCTTCCCTCTCTTTCTTCCCCTTCTTCCTCCCCTACTCTCCCCTGCCCTCCTCCCTCTCCCCCTTCCTCCTTTTCTGTCTCTCCCTCCCCTCCCTTCCCTTCCCCTCCCCTCCCCTCCCCTCCCCTCCCCTCCCCTCCCCTTCTCTCTCTCTCTCTCTCTCTCTCTCTCTCTCTCTCTCTCTCTCTCTCTCTCTGTCTCTCTCTTTCGGCCACACCTGATTGTACTCAGGACTTACTCCTGACTTTACACTCAGGGCTTCCTACTAGTAGGTATCAGGAGGATAGTATTTGGTGACAGGGATTGAACCTGGGTTGCCTGTGTGCAAGGCAATCATCTTCCTGGCCGCTCTGTCTCTCCAGGCCACGAGGTGGATATTATCTGTTTTTTGAGATCTGGAAACAGACCAGAAGGTTAAGTAAGTAGACCCAAAGTGTATTTCACCAGTGGGTGAAAACTCAACTTTAGCTTAAGCTATTAACTATGTGGTTAGATAACTAATAGATTTGTGATGTCCAGTCCTACCTTTATAAGTGTGATTTTATTTTTTTTCTTATGAAGTAAGGAAACAATAGTAGTTGACACTGATGGTGGGATTGGTGTTGAAATAGTATATGCCTTATTGTATGCCTTACAATAACTTTCTAAGTCATGACTCTTTGATTAAATAAAAAATTATTGAAGAAAATTTAATACTACTTTCTTCACTTTCTTGGCTAGAGTGTTAGCTTTATGGATCAGAGAGATAACGCAAAGGACTACAGTACAAACTTGGCAATGACTTAGTTTTCCAAGCACCACCAGGAATTACTCCCAGGCACCATTCCTTGAGTGTAGTCCTTGAGTAGCCAAAACAAAACAGAACAGTAACATTATAAGTTTAATGCTTGCTTTTTCTTTTTCTTTGTTAGAATGTCAGTCTGATTTTAAAAAGAGCCCCTCATTAATATAAAGTTGTTTGATTTTTTTTTCTCAGAGGATTTGAAGAGACAAAATGCAGTGTTACAAGCTGCACAAGATGATTTAGGACATCTACGTACACAGCTGTGGGAAGCCCAAGCAGAGATGGAGAATATTAAGGCCATTGCCACAGTTTCTGAGAATACCAAACAAGAAGCAATAGATGAAGTGAAAAGACAGTGGAGAGAAGAAGTTGCTTCACTTCAGGCTGTTATGAAAGGTAAAGAAAAAGAAAACTAGACTTGTTTCATTTTTTTGTTTGCTTGTTTGGGGTCCACGCCCAGCAGTTCTCAGGGGTTACTTCTGGCTCTGCACTGAGAAATGACTCTTGGCAGTGCTTGGGGGACCACGTGGGATGCCAAGGATTGAACCTGGGCCAGCCACGTGCAAGGCAAATACTCTACCTACTATACTATAACTCGGACCCTGTTTTACAATTATCTAAGTTTACAGATTCTGTTGAATTTCTGAATTCATTTCAGGGATCTTAACGTGTATATTGAGTTTTCATTTCTTTTTATGTTGTCATCTACAAATTACAGTCACATTTTCAAAATAGAAGAGAAGCCAGTGGAAGTATAAGTGGGTTTTATCAGTGTTAGGAAAGAAATACCAAAGAATGAAACTGTGTTGGGGGTCCAGAGATAGTACAGCAGGTAGGGCACTTTCCTTGCACACAGCCCACCCAGGTTCTATCCCCAGCATCCCATATAGCCCTCGAACCTTCCCGGAGTGATCCCTAAGTTCAGAGCCGAGTAAGCTCTGAGCACCACCAGTTGCGGTCCCTAAACCAGGCCAAATCAAAACCAAAAAACTGTGGGAATAGGGAGTGTGCTAAACTGGAGTGATCTCCTATGTAAAGAGTCAAGTTACTATTCACACTCTTTTGTTCCTACTAATTATTTCCCTTTTTGTCCAGTATTGTCAGATTTTTTGCTTATTTGGGCATCAGATTGGTGTGGGGGCATGCTTGTTTTTGGGGGGCTACATCCAAAGGTGCTCAGATGTTACTTCTTGCTTAGGATATGTAGTGCCAGGAATTGAATCTTAGTTTGCTGCATGCAAGATGAGCTCCTTACTTACTGTACTCGCTTCTGTCCCATATCTTTTGCATTTTTCAGGGGAAAAAAAAATCAGATTTCTAAGTGAAATCCTTACTGCATTTGGTAAACTATAAAGACCTGTGTTTTAAAATAGGCATTATGGGCTGCCCGTTTGTAATCTTTTGTCTGAAAAAGAGTAGTCATTTATTTTATTGTTTTGGTTGGTACTACTGCATGTACCACTGGAGCCACACCGTACTACTGCATAGGGCTGGAGCGATAGCACAGCGGTAGGGCGTTTGCCTTGCACGCAGCCAACATGGCCGACCTGAGTTCGATTCCTCCGCCCCTCTCGGAGAGCCCAGAAAGTTACCGAGAGTATCTCGCCAGCACGGCAGAACCTGGCAAGCTCCCCGTGATATATTCGATATGCCAAACACAGTAGCAACAAAGTCTCCAATGGAGACGTTACTGGGCCCGCTCGAGAAAATCGATGAACAACAGGAGGACCGTGATATGACCGTGACTACTGCATAATTACTTTTGGCACTTCTGAGATGATAGTGTAATAAAATAAGGTGACTGCTGAATCAGCTTATTCAGGAGTTCCTGAAATAGTTAATATTACAAGTATGAAATAATGATGACTTTTTGCAGGGCGGGGAGAGGGTTAGAGAGAGATTTCTTTGCAGTTGTGTATCATTGCCTTAGTGTCCTTTGTAAGAAGTCAGCTAGATTACCCCGTTTCTTTTTTGTTTTTGGACTATACCCAGTGGTGCTCAGAGCGAACCTCTGACTTCGTATTCCGGTCTTAGTCCTGGTGGGGCTCTGGGGATCGAACCTGAGTGGTGGTGTACAAGGCAAGCAGCCTCTGGCTATTTCTACAGCCCACTGTTTCTGTTGTTAATACATAAGGATGTTTTCAGGCCTCATAATAATAATCCTGGCTCTACTCAAGTACCTGGTTGTACATTTTTCTCCCAGAATATGAAAGTCAGAGGTAGGTAATCAAATGATGGCTATAACGGTTTCATAGTTTTACCAATATCTGAGGCTCCTGTTTCTTTGTTAGTTTTCAGCTTCATAGTGTTCTGTGATTGAAAAAAAAATGACTGCTGCTCCTTTAATAAGCATTAGGAAAGTAAAAAAAATTTTTTGGAATATTTATCATGCAACCTCCTTCCTCTTTTTTGGAGTATGTTATTTTTCACAGCTGTAAAATCAGACAAAAATATAATTATTTCATTGGTTCATTGACTAACAAAATTGAGGACTTGTTAGTAAGAAAAATGGTATGGAAATAATGTATATCCAGCAATACTTATCACACAATGTTTTAAGATAAAGTCATTTTTATAAAGACATTACAAAATTTGTCTCAATTTAGACTGTTGGGTTACAGTGAAATATTTCAAAAATGTATCTCTTTCCAGGTAGTTGAATTGTAGTGACAAATTGTATGTGTGTTAGGAGCCATAGTGTCCAGTGTCAAAGAACATAGGTTTTGGAATTAGAAATCTAGTTCTGCTTTTTGGTTATAAAACTTTGACTAGGATATTTAATATTTCTTAATCTGTAAAATATAATGTGACATATGTTTATTGTCAAGATAAGAGACATTGCTTTAAAGCCCTTTGCAAAGATTCTACACATAATGAAATGTTTTTTCCCCCCATGATTAATAACATTTCTGGAAAGTAATTTTAAGCACTTTCTACATTTTAAATTTTAGTGTGCCAGACGTTTTCATTCAGAATTTAAACGTGACATATTTGGTGGTGTTTTGTAGAAACAGTTCGTGACTATGAGCACCAGTTTCACCATAGGCTGGAACAGGAACGAACACAGTGGGCACAGTATCGAGAATCTGCAGAGAGGGAAATAGCTGATTTAAGGAGAAGGCTGTCTGAAGGTCAAGAGGAGGAAAATTTAGAAAATGAAATGAAAAAGGTATGAAGGAATGTTTATATTTGTAGAAATAATTGAACCAAATGCAAGATTTTTTAATGCTGTTGAGGTAACATTTTATTTTCTTTATTTTCTAATAGAGGAATTATTTAAATCCAGTCAATGTACTAGCCATATAGTTTGATGCCTTTCTTCCAAATAGATGTATGGCTAACTCATTCCCTTCAAATCTTTGCTCAAATATCATTGTATACGAGGTTTGCACTGATGACAACATTTAATGCTTAAACCTGCTTATCCTCTTCTATCACCCTTATTTTTCTTACATATATACATATGTATATATTTACTATGTCTGTTTTTTGCACCTTTCACTGCTTGCTAGAACGTAAGCTTTGTGTTTGTGTATCACAAAGGCTTAGACTTGACCATTGACTATTTTGAATTTTTTTGTGGTGCTGGCAGTTGAGTGCAGGTCTTCACAAATGTAGGTATGCATGCTGTTACTGAGTACCATTCCCTGCCCCAGGAGTTATTTTTTGAATGAATGTAGTTGCTTGAATATATGTCTAAACCAAAACTTTAGGGCCAGAGAGAATATAATGGTTAAGGCACTTGCCTTATTTGAGTTGACTCCTGTTTGATTACTTTTACCACATATGATCCCGTGAGCACCTCCAGGAGTCAGCTCTGAGTACAATCAGGTATGGCCCAAGCACCCCTCTCCCAATCCTCAAATAAGAAACTATAACTTCAAAACAAATGTTAATTTTTCTTCTCTCTCTCTCTCTCTCTCTCTCTCTCTATATATATATATATATATATATATATATATAAAATGTGGTTCCTGTCAGGTGAATGAGACCAGTTGTAGTTACTGGTTTTGGCATATCGAATACACAACGGATAGCTTGCCAGGCTCTTCCGTGCGGGCGGAATACTCTCATAGCTTGCCAGTCTTTCCGAGAGGGATAAAGGCTTTTGGGGCGACCTCTAATCACCCTTGTAGGTGTTACCATATTTGAACCCTATCAAATATGGTACGACAATTCTGGAAGAAGGGTATTTAGTGTCTTATGATGTGTCCGGAAGGCGTCCTGGAGTGTGGCGGCGGCTGGGTAGTGGAGGTAGTGTCGATAGTGGAAGTCTGCCAGTAGGGTATTTATCTGGGTAGGGTGGGTCTTCTGTGCGCAGTCCGATCCCTGGGTGGTTGATGGAAGCAGACAGGGCAGGGTAGGGTGGGGCTCCTGATTAGAATCCCTTTGTCACCTGTGGTTGGTGGGAGCAAGCAGAGAAACTCTGTCCCTGAGTCTGCAGGGCCTGGAGTCCAAGGTCTCAGAGAGTTCTGCTTATCTTGTTCCTGATGGATCCATCACATCCTCCAGAATGGCAATGGAGAAGATTATCCATGACTTCTACTCAAATTTCTTCGATAGCCATGTCCACTTGCCGACATACCAAATTCCACAGGATGGATATGTCGTTCCCAACGTTATCCCTTCCGAAATCCGACACGCCATTTCGTCGGTAAAGAAACAAACAGCACCCGGCCCAGACAAGCTCAGACCTGAACACCTGAAGAACCTGCTGTCAGTACTCATCAATACACTGGCTCGGCTCTTCACTTGCTACCTGTCTGAATGCAAGGTTCCGTCACAATGGAAAACCAGCAGGACCGTACTACTGTTCAAGAAGGGAGACATCCATGACATTGGCAACTATCGCCCGATCTGCCTATTGTCTGTCATCTACAAGTTGTTCACTCGAGTCATCCTAAATAGGATTGGCAGAACACTAGATGAAGGACAACCATGCGAGCAAGCCGGGTTCCGCAAAGGATTCAGCACCATCAACCATATCCACATGATAACCAAGCTCATTGAGGTTTCTCGGGAGTTCAAGATGCCGCTCTGTTTAACATTCATTGATTTAAAGAAGGCCTTTGATTCTGTTGAGACGGAAGCAGTCATTGAAGCCCTAGCCAATCAGGGCATTCAAGCCCAATACATCAAGATCCTCCGTGAGCTGTATTGCGGATTCACTACCAGGATCTCACCATTCTACAAAGAAGTGATCGTTGATGTCAAGAGAGGGGTTTGGCAGGGTGATACCGTTTCACCGAAACTCTTCAGTGCCACCCTCGAGAACATCATGCGGCGACTGGAATGGGAAGGAATGGGAGTGAAGATAGATGGTCGGCAACTACACCACCTCCGCTTTGCTGATGACATTGTTTTAATAATACCAAACATCAGCCAAGCGGCACAAATGCTGGCCGACTTTGACCGTGAGTGTGGAAAGGTAGGACTACAGCTGAATCTTACGAAGACAATGTTAATGAGAAACAGCCTCGTTCCTGATGCCCCATTCACTCTCAACGGAACGACCATCTCCGAATGCAACAGCTATGTGTACCTAGGTCGAGAAGTCAACATGACAAATGACCTGGCACCCGAGCTGCGCAGGAGGAAGAGAGCGGCTTGGAACGCCTTCAAGAACGTCGAAGAAATAGCTAAGAGGACGAAGAACCTCCGGCTCTGGGCACATCTCTTTGATTCCACTGTTCTTCTTGCATTAACATATGCCTCAGAGACCTGGGCCCTATGCAAACAAGATGAGAACGCTATTCAGGTCTCCCAAAGAAGAATAGAAAGAGCTATGCTTGGAATATCACGTTTCACTCAAATGAGAGAAAGAATCCGGAGTTCTGACATCCATAGAAGATCAAGAATCAGGGACGCTGTCTCGTTTGCCAAGGTGTCGAAAATCAGATGGGCTGGTCACATAATGAGATTTAAAGACAACCGCTGGACTAGAGCTGTTATCGACTGGATTCCACAGGATGTGAAAAGACCATGTGGCCGCCCACCTACCAGATGGTCAGACTTCTTCGTCAAGATCAGTTTGAGGCTCTTCATGTTCCCAGAGCGAACAGATGCCATTGGGCTACACTAGCTCGCAACAGGGACAAATGGAGACGTTACTGGCGCCCGCTCGAGCAAATCGCCGACTAAAGGGAAGTTAAGTGATTAAGTGGTTCCTGTGTCACATATTTTGCTTGAAAATACTGAACATAATTGAAAAAATGTTCAATTAAGGAAGAATAACTTATTAAGACAATTGAAAAATATCTCATTTACTCCTTTGACTTTATATATGTGTGTATATGTATATACACACATATGCTTTAAATCATAGTAATTAGAATTTAGTTTTTGTTTTTAGTTAGATTTATCATAATTTTAATCCATATAAGGTATCTGAGGTTGAATAATGTGTTTTTGTAAGTATATATTTATAATTTTTGGGTCACACTTTGTATTAACTCAGGGGCAAATTTTGGATTATTGTTTGAGGGTTGCTCCTGGTGGTACTTGGAGGACCGTGTGGTACGGGACATTGTTTTGTTTTTTTGTTTTTTTTTTAAATTTAATTTTTATTAGTGAAACACCATGGGGTACAGTTGTAGACATTCAAACTTTCGTGCTTGGGTTTCAGTTATACAATGATCAAGTACCCATCCTTCCACCAGTGATCCCAGTAATCCTCCCACCCCCGAACCCATCCCCCCCCCCCGGCAGGGCATTCCCTTTTGCTCTCGCTTTCCTTTAGGGTGTTGTGGTTTGCAATAGAGAAATTGAGTGGCCGTAGTGTTTGGTCTATAGTCTACTTTCAGCAAGCATCTCCCCTCCGGAGTGTTTGTTCCCTTTACTTGGTATTCCCTTCTCTATCTGAGCTGCGTTTTCCCCCAGCATGCGCTGCCAGCTTCCAAGCCATGGAGCAAACCTCCTGGTACTTATCTCAACTATTCTTGGGTATTAGTCTCCCATTCTGTTACTTTATATTCCACAGATGAGTGCAATCTTTCTATGTCTGTCCCTCTCTTTCTGACTCATTTCACTTAGCATGGTACTTTCCATGTAGAACCACTTGTATGCAAATTTCATGACTTCATCTTTTTCTAACAGTTGCATAGTATGCCATTGTTCAGATGTACCAAAGTTTCTTTAACCAGTCATCTGTTCTAGGGCACTCGGTTTTTTTCCCAGATTTTGGCTATTGTAAACAGTGCAGCAATGAACATACAAGTGCAGATGTCATTTCAACTGTACTTTTTTGCCTCTCCAGGATATATTCCAGGAGTGGTATTGCTGGGTCAAATGGGAACTCAAATTTCTAATTTTCTTTTGAGGATCGTCCATATGTTTTCCAAAAGGGTTGAACCAGTTGGCATTTCCACTAGCAGTGAAGGAGAGTCCCTTTCTCCCCACATCTGCACCAGCACCGGTTACTTTTGGTTTTTTGGATGTGGGCCAGTCTCTGTGGTGTGAGATGATATCTCATTGTTATTTTAATCTGCATCTCCCTGATGATTAGTGATATAGAGCATTTTCTCATGTGCCTTTTAGCCATTTGGATTTCTTCTTTGAGAAAGTTTCTGTTCATTTCATCATCCCATTTTTTGATGGGGTTGGATGTTTTCTTGTGGAGTTTCACCAGTGCCTTGTATATCCTTGATATCAATCCCTTATCTGATAGGTATTGGGTGAATATCCTTTCCCTTTCTGTAGATTGTCTTTGTATTTTGGTCACTCTTTCTTTTGAGGTGCAGAAGCTTTTTAGTTTAAGATAGTGCCACTTGTTTATCTTTGTTTTCACTTGGCTTGGTTAGTGGTGTGTCATCTTTGAAGATACCATTAGCTGCAGTGTCGTGGAGGGTTTTGTTAATCTTGTCTTCAATGTACCTTATGGATTCTGGTCTGATGTTGAGGTCTTTAATCCATTTTGATCTGACTTTTGTACATGGTGTTAGATAGAGATCTGAGCCCATTTTTTTGCATGTAGCTGTCCAGTTATTCCAGCACCGTTTGTTAAAGAGGCTTTCCTTGCTCCACTGTACGTTTCTTGCTCCCTTATCAAAGATTAGATGATTATATATTTGGGGGTGTGTGTCAGGATATTCAACCCTGTTCCATTGGCCTGCAGCTCTGCCTTTGTTCCAGTACCATGCTGTTTTAATTATTACTGCTTTGTAGTAGAGT